AACAATGGAGGTACCTGGAAGGTATTATGCTTATTGAAGTAAGTCAGACAGAGAAAAACAAATACTGTATGATATTACTTACATGTGGTATCTAAAAAATAAAACAAATGAATGAATATAAGAAAATAGAAACGAACCACAGATTATAGAATACAAACTAGTGGTTACCAGTAGGGAGAGAGAATTGGGGAGGAGCAAGCTAGGGGTAGGAAATTAAGAAGTTCAAACAAGGTGCTATAAAGCATGTGAATGCACAACCTTCATTTCTAGGCTCTTCCCTAAGTTTGTCCACTGCAGAATCCTACCTCTTTTGTTGATGGTTTTTAGTTCTATAGTTGTGGGACATAATTACTGTTATAAACTAAAGCTCCTGACAAAGGCTCTGCCCTTCTACATGCCTAGTAAATTAAGAGATGACCATCTATCTCTAGTAATGCAGGCAGAGCAAACATTTAAGACCTTTCATCACAGATCTGCCCAAGAGAGGAACTCCAAACACTTCAAATTCATGTCTGTGAACCTGAGGGATGCACATCCCAGGAGATGTAAGAGACAGATGGAACCCATAAAGCCAGTGAATAAACACTGGAGGTATTTAGGGGAAAATTTAGAATCAAGTAAACATGATATAATGTGGAACAGAATACAAACTTAGTTAATTTCTTGGACAAAGCATAAAAATTCAAATAAATGTTGAACTTACTGCAGCTGCCTTCTTTGCTATGGTACTCAGCCCCAAAAGGCCTGCCTCCCTCCCTTCTCCACTGAAGCTAAGTGGGAAAGTTTGTGAATCACTGCTTTCAGTAATCACCTAGGTCTTTCTCAGATTTCTGCCTTTGTTGTACATACAAGTCATGACTCTATTATACATCTATGCAACGTGAAAGAAACTAGGAGGATAAACCATATGAGGTGAGCAACAAAACGCTGGAAATGGTATGTATATTATTTTGTACCCAAATGTGCTTTTAATTCTTAAAGTAGTTATTGTGTCCCTACTGATTCAACACTTAGGCTTGGCAACCTGGGATAAATAAAGATGAATAAATAGGTAGTTATTACTGCAATGTTTTTAAACTCTATATAAACTCACTATATATATAGTGAACATGTACGAGATATATAGATATAGATATATAGATATATGAAATCAAATTCTTCAAAAAATTAATCTGGTCCACTTAATGGTACACATAATTTCGCATTTGCTGTTCCCTCTGCCTGGAACACTCTTCCCTTCAGTTCTCTACACTGCTGATTCTTTCTTGCCCTTCAAATTCACCTGTTCAAGGAAGATTTTCCTAACCATTTCACCGAAAGTAGCCCCTTTATAAGTACGTTATTATCCTGTTTGTTTCCTTCAAAGCCATCACCGCAATCTGCAGTTGTCTGGTAATTATTCACTTTTTATTTATCATTGTGTGCCTCTTCCCAGCAGGCCAGAACCTTGTCTGTCTGTTTATGGCCACAGCCCCACATCTCCATTGAGTGCCACTCAATAAGTATTTTTGAATGAAAGACTGTTGCACAGTATTTAGAAATTTTAAAACAGGCATTTCTCCCAGACTTTTTAAAGTGAAAAATCAGACCGTGGAGCTTTTATAATCTGCCTCTCTTTCCTTACAAACCTAAAAAGAAACTGAGGCCCAGTGACTCCCCCAAAATCCTTTTAGGAGTACAAATTTGGGGTGGAGCCAGGACTAGCCTTTCATTTCGCCATCTCCCACTTCCTGGAGCTTTTCCAGCCAAGCTGTTGTTTCCTCCAGTCTCACTCATTAGTCCTACAGGATGTATAAACAGGGCTGAACACATGTGAAAAATTAATTGTTTGCTTCTTTTCCCATAAACTTCCTTTTTAGCCCCGACTACAGTGGAGCAGTTTCAAGCTGAGGAGCCGACTTCTATGCCATGTGCAGAAGAAGAGATGAAACCGCATTATAACTCAGTCCTGGTCAACAGCTCGGCTGATACGCCTCACCTCTGCTGCTGACCTGGCCGGAGCAGCCACCAGTCACGTGAAGTCATAAAGTGTGTCAGTCCCTTATGCACTGACATTTCACACATCAAATAATTAATTTAGCTAAGACAAAATTCTAGCGGCTATGCCTCTTTTCTTCAAAGAGATCAAATTTAAACTCAAGTGACCAGGAAAAAAAATCCTACAAGAAGAGAAGGGTCACATAAGCAAGTACCATAACAGTGACAAGTCACAAATCCTCTGGAAATTCTGAGGGAAGGACGTGGCAGGCTCACAGGTAGCAGGTAACCAAGCCACCATGTCTGATGATAAAACATTTCTGCCTAGAAGAAAAAGTGATCTTATGAACAACTTCTTTCTAACCTCCTAGAATATCTGAGCATTTTGTGGCACTAGGTCACGGTTCTTTCCTCTAGGCAGCTGTCTTCCACTGCTCAGAGTTCCCCAAGCTTGAAGTCCTAAATCAAAATTCACCTCATCAGGTTCTACAGACGGATTAAAGCAGGTCCCTGTCTACCTGTCCACAACACAATGGCAGATTCATCTTCCCTGGGCCAGAACATCTGTGTTATTTCAAAGTTAGCTGTTTCTTCATGTGTATTTGTCCATCTAGCCTGTCTTTCCAAATGTAAGGTGACGGAGGGCCAGGACCTTCTGGTTTGTTAACCCAAGTCCTAGCACTGCTCTCCATTTTCCAGCCAAACTAACGCAGTCTTGCTTCTGGACATGAAAATGCTAAAATAAAATTCACACTGTGCAGACCATGTTTCACTGTGGTCAGATTTCTCAACCACAAAAATGAAGCCCCAAGTTACTGGTGCCACGTAACACTGGCAAAACTGTCTGTGTGTCTTCACGCCATAACGCTATTCATTCTTTACCTTTATAAAAGAATATGGGGTTAGTTTTCAAATTAAGGAAGATGATAGTACTCAAATGATACAAATCCAGAAATGGGCGAGTTACCAATCCTATTAGTTCCAAAGTTCAGGATGTTTACCCAAGCATAAGACCAATTACGACTCAGAGGACTTCATTATGGTATTTTTTTAAAATCTGTGCCAAATGTGCATAAAAAATAATATGAGGAAATAGATGAACAGCTGAATATTTTACGTACCCAGTAAACAGTGCTCTACTTAGCCCCCAAAGTCTTGTGATAAAAACTAAAGCAGATGTAACTATAATTCTATGAACCTCAAGTTTCTAAAAAAAACTATTTGGTTATACATCCCAAATAGTCAAGAAACTCAAACAGGGTGCATCGGCCACAATTCCATGGGTAGACCAGTCAGAGCTTTTTGTGTAGTTAAAGTCAAGCTGTGTGTTCAATGTTTTATAGTAAAGTCAGTGGTATCCCTACTCCTAAACAAGGAGGCTCTTTCATTAAGTTGCTGTCCTATACTTTACATGGATTAATAAAAACTTACATTCTACATACTATTTAATATAACCTAACACTCTGAAAAGATTTCTACTCACACATTAGAACATGGGTTTTGAGTGTACTGATTACTAAAAAAAACCTCATGTTTCATTTAATCAACTGCCAAGAAGAATTTTGACAGGAGCATAATAGAAGGTATCTGTAATTTAAATAGACATTTAAAACTGTATTTTAAAAATTAACACAATCTTGAACTCAGTAAAAGTGAATTATTTTGTTAAAGCAAAAGTCTCCTGCATACTCACACACATGTGCTGAGCACTGGAGATGCTGACCATGTCAGGCACATGGTAAGCGCTCACAAACTTTGTTATAAACGACCTTCACCTAGAAGGGGCTTTGGTCTGAGCAAGATGGTAGCAAGATCACACTACTGTGCTGCATATCTGTAAAGTTAACGTGTGGCTACCACAGGGACCAGTTTCTGCAAGTGTTCATTCTACTGCTTCTTCAGCTCCACCAAAAAATGGTAGGAGAGGAGGGTGAACAGACCTTCCAAGACTTTCATACAATCGATATCGATAAAGGTGTGTGTGTGTGTTTGGTCTCTTCTCAGGCAAGAAAAATAACTTAACTAATAAAAGTCAGCATCTCCATTTGACCTACAAATTAATGTAGACACAAAAGGAAGCTTGAGAGAAAATGAAACGGTTTGGGAGATGTCAATCCAGCAGGTCGCTGTGAAATGTCTACTTTCTCCTATCATTCACATTCAAATCAGACTGTCAAGACTATAGATTCTGCCTGAGAATTTTTAAATCCCTACATGATTTCTTCTCTGAAAATAAATTCATCAGTATAAATAAACCAGAAAATTCCCTTTTTTCTTGGTTTCCTAACATGGTGAAATCTGGATTAGGCAACTAGTTAAACTTTTTAATAAAAATAGAGGAATGCAAAATTATTCCATAATTAGTATACGAAGGTATTCTTAATCTTAGTAAAAACTAGTATGGAAATTAATGTAACACATGTAAACAAGGTATTTAATTTTACTAAAGTGATTTATTTTGACAACAGTTCACAGTGACTTTTTAATACGGAAGGTCAAAATGCATAGTTATCTTTATATCAGATATTTATACGTAAAATATACATACAGTCAAAAAATGCTCCCACGCAGAAAATGACAACTATGTCAAGTATTTCCAACTTAGAATAAAAGAGATTGCAAAAATAAAAACAGTAATTATATGAGGACGGTGTCATTATGGGGGTGTTCCTTTCATTCTTTTCTAACATTATTATATGGCTTCTAAAATTAAAATATATTTATTTTGGTTCAGTAATACATATAAAACCACTACCTCATTTAGAGACATTAAATAATATTATAAGGGGGCAGGGTATATCTCAAGCACTAGAGCTCATGCTTAGCATGCACGAGGTCCTGGGTTTAATCCCTAGTATCTCCACCAAAGATAAATAACCTAATTACCTCCCCCTGCAAATAAAATAATTAAATAATACAATAATAAATACAATTTAATAAATAAATAAACATTCTAAGACAATAATTTCTAAACAAAACCGTGGTGTAGTTTTAAAATTCACGTAAGTCTAAAATCCACCTACCTGAGCCAACCTCTTTTTCCTCTTCTTCAATGTTGTTTTTGATGCTGTCATATTCCTCATCAATGGTCTGGTTACCGCGCATCTGAGACAAAATTCTCCGGGCCTTCTGAGTCTGTCCTTTCTGAATGAGCCATCGAGGGCTCTCAGGTAAAAAGAGAAAGCCAAAGAACTGTATGACCGCTGGGATTGCCGCAAGCCCCAACATGTACCTGTAACAAGAAGCCAGGGTATTGTTGTAAAATGTGGTCTCATTAGCACTGACTATGAGTAAAAGGTTTGCATTCACCACATTAGGAATAACACTTAATGTTAATCAGCCAGGATGATTTTTTCATTATACGTGTATGTGTGCGCCACCAGAAAACAAGCATATTTTTATGCTGTGGTGAGAAACTAAAAAAAAAAAAAAATGAGAAAAGTCTGATTCTTCTCTCTCTCCCACAAATTACAACAAAAAAGAATGGACGAAAGTCACAATCATTACATATATGCATTCTGAACCAAACACATCATGCGAAACACCATAATCCCCATTCCTATCTCATGTGAGTACAATTCTGTAATGTATAATATAAAATGGGGCTCAGACAAAACTCTGATATCTGCTGAAAAGATACACTTCATTAAAATAAATGCCCCTGCTTATTTCTTTATAGTTATTTCTTCTCTGTAAATGATTAGTTATGATTTCATTTTGCCATCAAGTATCATTTTTCAGACAAAAAGTACTTTATTTAACCATAAAGGGTGGGGGGATTAGAAAAGCACATAGCAGCCCATGGCAGAAAAAAGATGGAGTCAGATGCAAACAATCATGATTAAAATGACTAGAAACTGCCTTGGGCAGTGTGACCATTTTAACAATATTGATTCTTCCAATCCAAGAGCATGGAATATCTTTCCATTTTTTAAAGTCTTCTTTAATTTCCTTCATCAATGGTTTATAGTTTTCTGTGTATAATTCTTTTACCTCCTTGGTTAGATTTATTCCCAGATATTTTATTACTTTGGGTTCTATTTTAAAGGGGATTGTTTCTTTACTTTCTTTTTCTGTTGATTTATCGTTAGTGTAAAGAAATGCAACTGATTTTTGAACATTAATTTTGTAACCTGCTACCTTGCTGAATTCTTCAATCAGCTCTAGTAGCTTTTGTGTGGACCTTTTAGGGTTTTCTATATATAGTAACATGTCGTCAGCATATGACACTTTTACCTCTTCTTTTCCAATTTGGATCCCTTTTATTTCCTTCTCTTGCCTGATTGCTGTGGCTAGGATTTCCAGGACTATGTTGAATAGGAGTGGTGATAGTGGGCATCCTTGTCTTGTCCCAGATTTTAGTGGGAAGCTTTTGAGTTTTTCACCGTTGAGAACTATGCTGGCTGTAGGTTTGTCATATATAGCTTTTATTATGTTGAGATATGTTCCCTCTATACCCACTTTGGAGAGAGTTTTTATCATAAATAGGTGTTGAATTTTATCAAATGCTTTTTCTGCATCGATTGAGATGATCATGTGGTTTTTGGCCTTTCTCTTGTTGATGTGATGTATTACACTGATTGATTTGCATATGTTGAACCAGCCTTGTGTCCCTGGGATGAACCCCACTTGGTCATGATGTATAATCTTTTTTATGTGTTGTTGGATTCTATTTGCTAAAATTTTGGTGAGGATTTTGGCGTCTATGTTCATCAGTGATATTGGCCTATAATTCTCTTTTTTTGTAGTGTCTTTGCCTGGTTTTGGTATCAGGGTGATGGTGGCTTCATAGAATGAGTTTGGGAGTATTCCCTCCTTTTCAATCGTCTGGAAGAGTTTGAGAAGGACTGGTACGAGTTCTTCTTTGTATGTTTGGTAGAATTCCCCAGTGAAGCCATCCAGTCCTGGACTTTTATTTGTAGGGAGGTTTTTAATTGCTATTTCTATTCCAATTACCCAGGACATATTTCACAGAACTAGAACAAATCATAATAAAATTTATATGGAACCATCAAAGACCTAGAATTGCTAAAGCATTACTGAAGAGAAAGAAAGAGGCTGGAGGAATAACTCTCCCAGACTTCAGACAATACTACAGAGCTACAGTCATCAAGACAGCATGGTATTGGTACCAAAACAGACATATAGACCAATGGAACAGAATAGAGAGCCCAGAAATGAACCCACAAACTTTTGGTCAACTCATCTTCGACAAAGGAGGCAAGAATATACAATGGAATAAAGACAGTCTCTTCAGCAAATGGTGTTGGGAAAACTGGGCAGCAGCATGTAAAACAATGAAGCTAGAACACACCCTTACACCATATACAAAAATCAACTCAAAATGGATTAAAGACTTAAACATAAGACAAGATACAATAAACTTCCTAGAGGAAAACATAGGCAAAACATTATCTGACATACATCTCAAAAATTTTCTCCTAGAAGAAATAAAAGCAAGAATAAACAAATGGGACCTAATGAAACTTACAAGCTTCTGCAGAGCAAAGGAAACCAGAAATAAAACAAGAAGAAAACCTACAGAATGGGAGAAAATTTTTGCAAGTGAAACCGACAAAGGCTTGATCTCCAAAATATATAAGCAGCTCATACGACTCAATAAGAAAAAAATAAACAATCCAATCCAAAAATGGGGAGAAGACCTAAACAAGCAATTCTCCAAGGAAGACATACAAATGATCAAAAAGCACATGAAAAAATGCTCAATATCACTAATTATCAGAGAAATGCAAATCAAAACTACAATGAGGTATCACCTCACACCAGTCAGAATGGCCATCATTCAAAAATCCAAAAATGACAAATGCTGGAGAGGCTGTGGAGAAAGGGGAACCCTCCTACACTGCTGGTGGGAATGCAGTTTGGTGCAGCCACTATGGAACACAGCGTGGAGATTCCTCAAAAGACTAGGAATAGACTTACCATATGACCCAGGAATCCCACTCCTGGGCTTGTATCCAGAAGGAAATCTACTTCAGGATGACACCTGCACCCCAATGTTCATAGCAGCACTATTTACAATAGCCAAAACATGGAAACAGCCTAAATGTCCATCAACAGGTGACTGGATAAAGAAGATGTGGTATATTTATACAATGGAATACTACTCAGCCATAAAAACCGACAACATAATGCCATTTGCAGCAACATAGATGCTCCTAGAGAATGTCGTTCTAAGTGAAGTAAGCCAGAAAGAGAAAGAAAAATACCATATGAGATCGCTCATATGTGGAATCTAAAAAACAAAAACAAAAACAAACAAGCAAACAAAAACAAAGCATAAATACAGGACAGATATAGACTCATGGACAGAAAATACAGACCT